CACCACCACCACCACCACCACCACCACCACCACCACCACCCCCACCGGCTCAGGGAAGAGTCCAGTCCCGGACACTTGGGAGGACTTCATGAATCCTCGGAGGTCAGCAGCCCCAGCCTCTCCAATTAGCCACACCCCCTCCACCTTCTGCACTGCTTGCACAGTATCTCCGTCCGTGGTAAGAACCTTGTGGTAAGAGCAGGGGCCACTCCACACCCTCGGGCCAAGCTCACAGTTCTCACCAATGTCATCCATCCTTGTTCAACTGGAGAACCAGATCGGTTATAACCGAAATAAAAAGCAGAAAGAAAAGAGCTGCCCTGGCCAACCAGAGCATTTTCCATGCCCTTCGGCCCCCATCCTCTGATTTAAGTTGGAATACTAAAATATAAAACCCCAGCTGGAGTAAGGAGTAAGGAGGCCGGCTAATTTAAGCAGAGCCCACACAGACCACCAATCTGAGATCAGCTGCACAACTCTGGGATCTCAGCCTTCATGGAGTGAGACACCTTGCCAAAGAGCTGCAGCTGCTTAGTCTTGGGCCCTGCAGCCAGGATGTGTACGTGTATGTATGTATGTACGTGTGTGTTAATAACAGCTTTATTGACACAGTTCACATACCATATAATTAACCCTTTCAAAGTATACAGTTCAGTGTGTTTTAGTATATTCACAGGGTATCTCATTTCAGAACACTTTCTTCACCCCAAAAAGAAACCCTGTACTCCTTAGCAGTCACCATTTTTCCCTTCTCCAGCCCTAGGCAACTACTAATCTACTTTCCACATCTACGGATTTGCCTAATCTGGACATTTCACATAAATGGAATCACACAATATATGGCCTTTTATGACTGGCTCCTTTTGTTTAGCATAATGTTCTCAAGGTTCATCCATAATGTAGCATGTATCAGTATGCAATATTGTGATTTGTAAGAAATATATATTTGGTCTTTCAGATGACCAATTATTTATTTTTCATATATGTTTGGTCTTTGTCCATGTTTCTGGCTCACAGCTCCCAAAGCCCTTGGAATTTCCTGAGGGATAAAGGGCAATGGAAAGGATGCCTGGGTGGCTCAGTCAGTTAAGCATCTGCCTTCAGCTTAGGTCATAATCGCAGGGTCCTGGGATCGAGTCCCACATCAGGCTCCTTGCTCAGCGGGGAGCCTGCTTTTCCCTCTCCCACTCCCCCTGCTTGTGTTCCCTCTCTCTCTGACAAATAAATAAAATCTTTAAAAAAAAAAAAGATCAATGGGAGCATCTTTCCTTATGATAATATTTGGCCTTTTGTCCTCAGTCCCTGAAATCACTCCAGAGCCATGAAGGTAAAATGATGTATTGCTATTCATAACAAGCCCCTTTCTACCACAACTGGGCTTATGTTAATGAGGTGACTTTTGGAAAGCACTTCATTGGCTGCCAGGAGAACCAACCAGGAACAGAAGTTGGAATTTTCAGTCCCACCGCCAGACCCCAGGGAAAGAGTGGGGCTAGAGATAGTTTAATCACCAATGGCCAATGATTTAATCTATTGTGCCTATGTAATAAAGCCGCCATAAAACCCAAAAGGGCAAGGTTCAGAGAGCTTCCAGGTTGGTGAACACATGCAGATTAAATTCAGGTAGAATCTGAAGAGGGCATGGAAGCTCCAAGCCCATTCCCACATACCTTGCCTTATGTATCTCTTCATCTGGCTGTTGATTCATATCCTTTGTAATAAATTGGTAATCTAGTGAGTAAAGGGGTTTCCTGAGGTCTGTGAGCAGCTCTAGAAAATTAATCAAACCCGGGGCGCCTGGCTGGCTCAGTCGTTATGCAGCTGCCTTCGGATCGGGTCATGATCCCAGGGTCCTGGGATCGAGTCCCGCATCGGGTTCCCTTCTCAGAGGGAAGCCTGCTTCTCCCTCTCCTACTCCCCCTGCTTGTGTTCCTTCTCTCACCATGTGTCTCTCTATGTCAAATAAATAAATAAAATCTAAAAAAAAAAAAAGAAAAGAAAATTAATCAAACCCAAGGAGCGATTTGTGGGACCCTCTGATTTGTAGCCAGTTGGTCACAAGCACAGGTGACAAGCTGGGGCTTGCGATCAGCATCTGAAGTGGGGCAGTCTTGTGTGATTGAACCCTTAACCTACGGAATCTGATGCTAGCTCCAGGTAGATACTGTTGAATTATAGGACACCCAGCTAGTGTCTGAAGAATTGGTTTGGATATGTGCACCCTCCAACCACACTGGAATTGGTATCAGCACCCTTTCACAACTCTCCCCCCTTGGCTCTTATGAAATCACCCTTCCCATCTCTTTTCCTGCTTCTATTCCTATTCATTCACATTGGCTTTGCTGGCTCCCCTTCCTCTACCCAGTTTTTAAAGTCAGTATCTTTAAGAGTTCCCTCCTGGCCTTTTTTCTCTTCTCACTGTACATATCCTCAGTCATCACCGGCTTCAACCCGGATCTGAGTGCTAATGACTTGCAAATCTCTGTCTTCAGTCCAGTTCACTCCTGAGATCTAGCTCCTCAGATCCAAGTGCCTGCTGGACATCTCCCACCTGGCTGCACCCATCCATTCCATAATGTATTCCCCCAACTACATGCTAGGTCCTATCAAGTTACTGGAGACAGTAGGGGTGAGTAAAGTAGACATGATATTTGAAATCTTAGAACTTATAGTCTTAGCAGGAAAAACAGACATTAAATATATAGTCCCACAAATAAATATATCATTACATACTGATGGGGTCTATGAAAGAAAAGCATAGGATGCTTTTAGGGGGTATCTCAAATTAAAAATTATACTTTCAAATTAAACTCAAATTAAACTTTCCAAAACTGTAGAAGGACGCTTTGTTGCAATCTAATCCTCCTCATTTTCATGTTATTTCCTGTCCCTAAATCTATTCAACATTCAACAAATGTAATGAGTGCCCGCTGGGTGCCGGACAACCCACTTCTCACCAGTTGCCCAAGCCTGAAACCTGAGCAATCATCCTAGACCACTTCCTCCTTCCCCATATCCAATCAATATTAACTCTACCTTCTTTTTTTTTTTTTAAGATTTTATTTATTTATCTGACAGAGAGAGACACAGCAAGAGAGGGAACACAAGCAGGGGGAGTGGGAGAGGGAGAAGCAGGCTTCCCACGGAGCAGGGAGCCCGATGCGGGGCTCGATCCCAGGACCCTGGGATCATGACCTGAGCCAAAGGCAGACGCTAAATGACTGAGCCACCCAGGTGCCCCAATAACTCTACCTTCTTAAGTCAGTTATGTCCACCCAATCCCCTCCATCTCCACTTTACTGCCTTAGTTCAGGCCACAAGTATTTGTCACCTGGATTCCAGCAAAAGTTTCTGGGGATTGCTCTGCTTCTGGTTGCTCTCTCCCCTCCTATCTGCCCTCCTCAGGGTTCCAGAATTTATTTCTAAAACACAACTTTGGGGCGCCTGGATGGTTCAGTTGGTTAAGTGTCTGCCTTTGGCTCGGGTCACGGTCCTGGGGTCCTGGGATTGGGCCCTGCATCAGGCTCCCTGCTCAGTGGGGAACCTGTTTCTCCCTCTCCCTCTGCCCGTCCTCCCCATTCATGCTCCCTCTCACACTCTTTGTCTCTCTCAAATAAATAAATGAAATCTTTTTAAAAAAAAATAAAACACAACTCTGATTATGCCTCTCCCCTGCTTAAAAGCCTTCTAAGGCTCCCCACTGTCTTCCGACCAATCCAAATTCCTGTGGAAGAACAAGGTTTGATGTGTTCCCATTTGAATCTGCCATCCTTTATTTTATACAGCCTGCAAAGAGAAAGCTAGACCCAAAGAGTATGCAACTTCGTGACTAACATGAAAACCTACACAGTATGTATACTGGCAGGTTACTTACCAAAAAAACTGATGGGTTAACTTATAGTTTAGGTGAAAAAATTCAATTTTATACATGAAATCCAGTGTAGAGATTAAAAAACAACTGCAATGTCCTATAACACTTGTTTTATTGGCTTTGTGGCCATCATTTGCTTTGTGGTTAAAAGCAGCATCCCTGTGAGAGTAAATTAAAACTTTGCCCTTAAACAATTATGAAGGTGCTCTTTATTACTTTTCAGTAGTTCATGATAACCAGAGACAGAACCTATCATAATTAAACCTAAATATGACCTTGGCCCCACCTAGATAGTCTCTATTATGCTCTTGATTCATCAGAACATATTCTCTAGTCCTCTCTTCCTTACCTTATTAAAGAGGAAAACAACTAGCACAGAAGTATATCAAATTTTCAAATTACTTGTTTCAACAAGATTATTTACTCCCAAGACATCTCATCAAATAATGGTATGATCAATATTTTATCTTAATTTTAATCAAAGTGGAATAAAAATGGAAGATAAAGAATTTTTATTTCCACACATCTTAGCTTGGCGGATATCCAATGCTCTGGCCATAGCTTGCCTCTTAGCCCCATATCTCACCAGGCCTTCCCTTCAAGTCTGAGCTCTGTCCAAACGAACTACTGGCACTTTCTGGAAAGTGCCACGCCATTTACAATTTTGTGTCTGTGCTCCTTTACCAATCTTACCCAAGTCTTACGGAAAATGCTGATACCAATAGACAGCTGGTTATAAATGCATCTATAGGGGCCCCTGGGTGGCTCAGTCGTGAAGTGTCTGCCTTCAGCTCAGGTCATGATCCCAGGGTCCTGGGATTGAGCCCTGCATCGGGCTCCCTGCTCAGCAAGAAACCTGCTTCTCCCTCTCCCACTCCCCTTGCTTCTGTTCCTTCTCTCGCTGTGTCTCTCTCTGTCAAATAAATAAATAAATAAAATCTTTAATAAATAAATAATACCTTTAAAAATTAAAAATAAAAAAATAAATGCATCTACAACACTTCCTTTCACTTTTTGATTTGTGTCTATTGCCCCTACTAGCTTATAACTTTCTCGGAAACAGAAACCATGTCATCAATTTTTTTCTCCCCAGAGCCTAAGTGTCCAACACAAATGTTCATTAGCTATCTGTGGATCTATCTACCACATAGATCATCTTTTACATGCTAAAAACAACCAGAATAACAATAGTCGTTGAACGGGAAGGGAAGTCCACGAGGTAAGTGTCCAAGTCTGCAAATGACTTAGGGAGACCTAGAACTGATGGATTACTCAAAAAGGATGACAGCAGATGTATACGGTAACTGTAAAGGGGATGGCAGATAGTAAAAGGCTTGAAGGACAAAGGGGTTTCGCACCTAAGGGGATGAAAGCGCAAGGGGGCACCAACTGAATGGCAATACTGCCTCCCAGTGGCACCGAGGATAACAGCCTCTCTACCAGAGCATTTGCACAGAATTAGACCGTTTTCTCACACCTTGTAGTAGTGGCCTATGAGTTAACTGTGCTAGGGACCTCTCACTTCATCTCATTTAATTCTCATGACAACCCCTTGTCGAGACACAGCACGTAGCTTAGGGGTTAAATGCAGAGAGCTATCTGGCTGGTGTGACCTTAAACAAAGTATTTAAATTCTCTGAATATTTCCCCAGCTACAAAATAGGATAATATTAGTATCTACCATATAGGGTTATGAGGGGTACATTTTTTTTACTCACAACCCTGAGATCAAAATCCAAGCTGAGATCAAGAGTCAGACACTCAATGGACTGAGCCACCCAAGTTTCCTGATAAATTCTTTTTTTTAACAATTCTATACATTACTCAGTGCTTACCACAGTAAGTGTAGTCACCATCTGTCACCAAACAGTATTATTACCATCTTATTGACTATATTCCCTATGCTGTACTTTTCATCTCCGTGACTTATTTTATAACTGGAAGTTAATACTTCTTAATCCCCTTTATCTATTTCACCCCCCCCCCCCCCCCCCCCCCCCCCACCGCACCCACCGCACCCACCTCACCTCCAGCAACCACCATTTTGTTTTCTGTATTTAAGAGTCTGGTTTTTTGTTTCTTTGTTTTGTTTCTTAGATTCTACATGGTGAAATCATAAGGTATTTGTCTCTGTCTCACTTATTTCACTTAGCATAATACTCTCTAGATCCATTCATGTCGTTGCAAATGGCAAGATCCCACTCTCTTTTATGACTAAGCAATATTCCATTGTGTGTGTGTGTTTATGTGTGTGTGTGTGTGTGTGTGTGTGTGTGTGTGTGTGTGTACCTCACATCTTTGCCCATTCATCTATTGGTGGATATTTGGGGTGCCTAGATATCTTTGCTACTGTAAATAATGCTACAATAAACATAGGGGCACACATATCTTTTCTAATTAGTACTTTTCTTTTTTTAATTTTTTAAAAGATTTTATTTGTTTGAGAAAGAGCGAGAGAGAGAACACAGAAGGAGAGGGAGAAGCAGAACCCCCACTGAGCAGGGAGCCTGACATGGGGCTCAGTTCCAGGACCCCGAGATCATGACCCAAGCCAAAGGCCAACACCTAACCAACTGAGCCACCCAGGCGCCCCAGTGCTTTCATTTTCTTCCGGTAAATACCCAGTAGTGGAATTACTGAATCATATGGTATTTCTATTTTAATTTTTTGAGGAAACTCCATACTGTTTTCCACAGTGGCTGCACCAATTTACATGCCCACCAACAGTCCACAAGGGTTCTTTTTTCTCTACATCCTCACCAACACCTGTTATTTCTTGTCTTTTTTATTTTAGCCATTCTGACAGGTGGAAAGTGGAAGAATAAATTCTCAGAAGGATACCTGACAGCATAGCAAATGCTATATAAATACTAGCTATTACTATTATTCCTTTTCCTGATGAGAAAACTGATGTTAAATAAATCGAGCAGATAGTAAGAACTCAAAAAATTTAACTTCCTTTGCTTTCTCCCCTTACATCTTAGCTCCTTCTGGTGTTGCCCTCCTTAGTGGTCCTGAAATTCAAACAGGGGACTCCCAAACATCCCAAAGAAGTCAGTTCCTAAAGGCAGCAATGAGAAAACTGAGAAACCTCCATTAAACAGTCCAGACAGATATGGTTCTGGAAAAGAGCACTCCCCAGAGCACTCGTCATTATTATTAGAGTAAAGACCTTCCCAGTAACAAAACTCACCCTACCCAAAACAAGATGCATAAGGATTATGAAAATCAACTAAGATCTGTGCAGGAAACCAGATTTCAAGGAATATTCAAGTAAGTATGATCTGCCCAGAGCCCATTTTGACCACTTTGCCCACAGAAGCTGAAAGACCGTGATCATTTTCGAGATTAGGCTAATAATAACTTACTAGAGACTCTATGCTCTCCCTGCTCTCCTACTGTTACTGCAAACATAAAATTCATGAAAATGATGGTTTTTAAGTGACATGATATCTTTGTGATTATAGACTGCCCACCCAGTCCGCATTTGCAATGAGGTGTGTCTTTACCAGGTAAGATTGATTGGCAGATCTGCACATTAGTAGCAAACAGGCTCCTTTTATACTTGTAAAGCTCTCCAGGATTCTGCAAGATTCCTCTAATTCAGATTTTAGCATTCCTGGGTGTTCTTTTTGAGAGACTGAATATACGAACAGTAGCCAGACCATATATAAAAACAGAACTCTGAGGGCTGCTGGGTAGCTCAGCTCACAGAGCATGCAACTCAGGGTTGTGAGTTCAAACCCTATGTTGAGCGTAGAGTTTATGTAAAAACAAAAACAAAACAGAACCGTGACCTACAACCTGAAGAAGCCAACCCAGGTAACCAGTCCCCATATCTGTAATAAACAGCTCAGGAAGCCAGCCTGCTCTAAGTCAGACTTGCAGAGGTCAGACCATTGTCTCTAGTAACCCCTGTAACAATTGGCCCCAGATGGCCAGGACTTGATTAATAAGTATCAGCTTCCCCAGATTTTGTGGCCACTTCCAATTTAGGACCAACCAGAGAAAGCCAATACGCGCTCCTAATGAATCCCACAGAATGTCCCTACTCCTAGTTACCCCAACTACAGCTTTCCCGTTGAATCAGGACATTCCTGAAACCTCCCCTCTCCCCCACTATAAAGCTTCCCCACTCCTCTGCCTGCCTTTGAGTCTCTGCCAAAACTCAAGTGTCTGCAGCTGACCCCCTTGAATAAATAGCCTTTGATTTTCTTATTTGGTTGGTCTTCGTTTATTTCCACATATTGGACCTAGTAATTCTAGGAAGAATTAATTTCCAAACCCTCTCAAAAAGACATTGGCTTAGGGGCGCCTGGGTGGCTCAGTCGGTTGTCTGCCTTGGGCTTGGGTCATTCTCCCAGGGTCCTAAGATCGAGCCCTGCATTGGGCTCCTTGCTCAGCGGGGAGCCTGCTTCTCCCTCTGCCTCTGCCTGCAGCTCTGCCTGCTTGTGCTCTCTCTCTGAAATGAATAAAAAAAGAAAAAAAGATATTGCTTTGCATTGTTCAAATGCGTTATTTCGAAAACATTCATAAAGTTAGCGGGGAACATTTTTTTACTTCATCTTAATAACCTAAGTCAATATGCTCAAGGGCTCACCTTTCTGTAGGAGACCTTCCTTCCGGGAATGGGAGCGGCTTTCTTCTACCCACCAGAGCAGCTGACCTAGTGAGGACGCTGAAAGGCCCAGACCACGCCGCGCTCTAAGCCAACCCCCAAGTGGGAACTACAATTCCCAGCGGCCCGTGCAGACGCCGGGCCACGGGCACAGCGCGCCTGCGCAGTGTCAGAGGCTCCGGCTGTGTGGTTCCCGCCAATTCTTGTGGTAACCCTGCAGACGTTGAGTCCCGCGCTCCATGGAGACGTTTGACCCAGCCGAGCTGCCTGAGCTGCTTAAGCTTTACTACCGGAGGCTTTTTCCCTACGCCCAGTACTATCGTTGGCTCAACTATGGCGGAGGTGATGGAAGCCGGGAGGGGAGTGGGTAGTGGTTCGGCGGGGAGGGTGAAGAGGTTCTGGGAGGGTACCTTGGAATGACAGTATGAAGTGCCTCCTGTGCGCTAGGCATTATGCCGGGCGCCTTCGCGCATTATCTCGAGCCCTTCCCACCACCTCAGAGGTATAAATGGGCCGAGAGAGGTTACGGTAACCAGCCTCCGGCCACACGGTAAAAGAAAGAGCCGCTGCTCCTACCACTACGTGGTGGCACTCACGTTCAGTGCCCCATTTACCTACCGCGGTGCCTGAGCCAGGGAGATTACTGGGTCGTAGCTTGAAGCTGCAGAGGCATGTTCTGTATCAGGGACAGCCGGGCATCTCCCGGAAGACGAGAGGTACTGAACTCTTCGCAGCTGAACTTAGTAGTGTCCGCCGAGGAGAGACAGGGGACATTACATCTTTAAAATATTTCTGCATATTTTTCCTCATATTTACTTTTTCCTATCAGTTGCAGGATGGTAAGCCCCTTCAGATTAGGGACTAGGTTTTTTTTTTTTTAACGTGTAACAGCGTTGTGCAGAGGGCTCATTAAAAATATCTTATTGGTTAATGTTTTAATGAGCTGAGCTGAATAAATTACCAAATTAACTTTAAAGTTGTATATTTATTTTGCAGTAATAAAGAATTACTTTCAACACCGTGAATTTTCATTCACATTGAAAGATGATATTTACATTCGCTACCAATCCTTCAACAACCAGAGTGATCTGGAAAAGGAGATGCAGAAAATGAATCCATACAAGATTGATATAGGCGCGGTATATTCCCACAGAGTAAGAAATCGGTTTTTTATGTATTTTGTAGTTTTGTTGTTTAAACCAGGAATGGATTGGTGCTCCCATTGTTTTGAGGTTAAATTTTTAGAGTTTATTCTAATTGAGTCCCACTTTAACTTTTTGCAAGTAGATTGCAATATTTTCTGTTCTTTGATATTCTACATTACTGACTGGAAATCATTTGGAAGTGAGTTGGTTGTATTCTCACTAGGACAAAAAAATTGAGTATCTGGCCAAAAGAGTAAATGAGAAAGTCAGCATGGTTTAAAGGAGCGTATTTTAAAAGAATTACATTGTCTTCCAGCAATGGAGGTGTTTTATTTTGTTTTGTTTTTGCATTTTTTTAATTTTATTATTTTTGTTTTTTAAGTAATCTCTATATCCAATGTGACCCAGAGATTTAGAGTCACATGCTCTACCGACTGAGGCAGGCCAGCACCCCATGGAGTTATTCTTGATTCCTCTATATCTCTCATACTCCTATATCTATTCCATTAGGAAATCTCTTTAGCTCTACCAAAATAGTATCTGAAATCCAACCACTAGTACCATTGCTACTACCATCCTCATCATCTTTCATCTGAATTACTGTAAAAACTTCCTAACAATTTGCTCCTGTATACCCAGAGTCTATTCTCAACACAGTTGCCAGAGCAATCCTTTTAAAACAAGTTAGATTCTGTGATTCCTCTGCTCAAAACCATTCTCTAGTGGCTCCCCATTTCACTCAGAGTAAAAGCCCGTCTCTCCCCCTCACTCACTCTGCTCCTGCCACACTGACCCTTGCTCAAGCAGTTTCCACTGTCCAGAACCCATTTCCCCAGATATCTCCTTGGTTCCTTCCCTCATTTCCTCAAGTCTTCACTCAGTGAGGCCTACTGCAACCTGCCACTCCTCCTACCCATTGCCACTGATATAGTCTAAATGTCTAGAATAGTGCCTGGCAGAGAGAGAACACCGTAAGTATTTGTTGAATGAATGAACATACCAAAATTGCCCTTCTTTCTCTCCTTAAAAATACACATATGGGGTGGGGGAGGGGCGCCTGGGTGGCTCAGTCAGTTAAGCATCTGCTTTTTGCCTTCGGCTCCGGTCGTGGTCCCAGGGTCCTGGGATCAGGCCCCATGTCAGGCTCCCTGCTCAGTGGGGAATCTGCTTCTCTCTCTCCCTCTGCCCCTTCTCCCCTGCTTGTGCTCTCTCTCTTGCTTTTGCTTGCCCTCTATCTCTCTCAAGTAAATAAATTTAATAAAAAATCTTTAAAAAAAAGACACATGGGGGAGAAACACACTCATGGGATAATAGCTTTTGTATGGAGCTTTTTCTTTTTTTTTTTCTTCTAAGATTTATTTATTTATTTGAGAGAGAGAGAGAGAGAGCACATACCCAGCAGGGAGAGAGGCAGAAGGAAAGAATCTCAAGCAGTCTCTGCGCAGAGCATGGAGCTCAATGCCAGCCTCGATCCGGTGACCCTGAGATCATGACCTGATCCAAAATCAAAAATCAGACACTTAATTGACTGAACCACCCAGGTGCCCCAGGCTTTTTTTTTTTTTTTAAGAGTCTCCTACTCCCATTATTTTCTGCTCCCCAGAGGCAACTACTTTCTTTTTAGCTGATTCTTAGGGTATTTGCCCCTTGTGTGTAAATAACATTTTAATATTTCTTTCATTTTCCATTTTAAGCATTATCTACTGACCTTCTTTTCTGGCAGATAAGGATTTGGCTTTTTTTTTGTTTAACCTCACCGCTTCCCTTCCCATTTCCACATGTCCTAATATGTTTGTTAGATTAAAAATCAGGGTTAGATCACTAACTCAACCCCAGACTCCTTACCAATTGTCTAAGTCTCCCCATGTATTCAGACCCATCAGGTTTTTGTCAGTTTCATCCTGAAGAAATTTCACCGGCAGCTTTCTGACCTCCAAGCTGGACTGATGGCTCTCTCTAAGCCTCATGGATAAATATGGTCTTGTAATCACCCCGGTTTCCTTTCACCTCTCTCCCATTTTGGATACTGTATTGCCCAAATCCTTTGTTCTCTTTTTGGTTTACTTCCTCTTTAAGGTAAAGTACATCCTCCAGGAGCTTCCAGAGAAAAGGTGCATGGAAAAGAAAATATTGGACACTTTCTGTATCTGGAAAATGACTTCATTCTACCTCTATGTTTAACTAATGGTTGAGTTTGTAAATCAGTTTCCCTTAGAATTTTGCATGATATGCTAGTTTCCAGTGTTGCTGTTAAGAAGACTAATGCCATTCTGATTCTTGCTCCACTGTATTGGACCTGAAAGCTCTTAGGATTTTCTACCTATCCCCTCTGTTCTAATGTACTAAAATTTCACAATGATGTGCCTTGGCGTGCATCTTTTTCACCTGTTGTGCTAGTACTTGATGGGCTCTTATGATCATGAACTCATGTCCTTCAATTCTGGGAAATTTTCCTTTTTAAGATTTTATTTTGAAGTTTAAAAAAAAAGATTTTATTTTTAAGTAATCTCTATACCCAACATGGGGCTCGAACTTACAACCCAGAGATCAAGAGTCTTATGCTCTACCAACTGAGCCAGCCAGGCACCCACACCTATCTTTTCTTTCTTAAATACAATTTTTTCTATCTGTAATTTTTATTTGGTCTCTCTAGAAATCCAAAAGTCAGATGTTATGTGTCTTGGACTGGTCCATTAATTTTTTTTTTCCTCCTATTTTCTATTTTGTTTGTTCTTTTGCTCTACTTGCTGAGGAATTTCCTCAGTGGTTTTCACTTCTGCTGTTATATTTTAATTGCCAAGATTTTTTTTAGAGCATCCTATACTTTTTTTATTGATATGTCTTATCTTTCTGAGGATATCAATGATAGTTTGTTTTCTGTTGTGCAATCTGTTTTCTCAAAGTTGCTTTTATTTTCCCATTTTTTCTCCTCTTTCATATTAGAGGCTTTCCTCGTAAGTCTGATAATTTCTTGCATGCTGTTTATATTTAAAAATAGAGTACTAAAAAAGCTGATTGGAAGTTATGTATACATGGCTGAGATTTCTTTATCACAGGGTGATCTGGCTGGGCCATTTTGGGGGGAGGAAGCTCCAACATCAGTTTCTCTAGATTTTTGCTTGAATGAAAACTCCACTAGCACAGAGATCTTTGTTTTGATCACTGATCTTCTATTCCAGAGCCTATAATAGTGCCTGACATTCCTAATCAGATTCTTCAGAGAGGAATCTTCTGGTGTCCTGCCTGGGGTGGCAGTGATAGGGTATAGAAGTGGGGGAGAGGGTTCTTAACTTTCCACCCGTAGATGTCCACTTAATCCCCTGTATGTCAGTACAATACACTTTCCTCAACTGTGCCTTTTGTTCCTACCCCCATCCCAGTCCAGAGAGACCCACTGTTTGAGGTTCTCCAGATAATAATTCAGGTGTCTTTACCAGGGAATTGAAGGCGTAGCCACCTGGCTCTGCTGAGTAAATGGAGGAATCTGGGGAACTAACTGCTTCATAAGCAGATTTTTAACTGATACTCCTGTTTTTAATCTTAGCTTCACCGCTACCTCTCTCTCTCCCCCCCCCAGGGATACCCAGTGTCACCTGAGTTTTGGGGGGATGCTGAGGTGTAAATTGGATTGCTTCTTATCTTTCCTTACTGAGAGCTTAAGATTCAGCTCTTACGGGTATTCTTATAAAAATTGTGGTGGTATTTTCTCCTCTCTCGTACTTTTTAATTTTTTTTATTTAAAAAAAAATTTTTCAGGGCGCCTGGGTGGTTCAGTTGGTTAAGCGACTGCCTTCGGCTCAGGTCATGATACTGGGGTCCCGGGATCGAGTCCCGCATTGGGCTCCCTGCTCAGCAGGGAGTCTGCTTCTCCCTCTGACCCTCTTC